TATTTTACTTACCAATTGTCAGAAGTGGTTTATTAAATTATAAAATTTTTTATTTTTTTTTACTAAACTGTTGTTTTTTTTTTGGGGGGGGGGGTATTCAAGAGTGTGAAAATAAAAATTAATACATATATTTCTGCCAAAAGATGGTTCTCATTCAGTTCATTCAGTTCTCATTCATTAAACATATGTAGCTCACTCTGCATTGGAATCTCTTTAGACAAAAACTTGTTTCCTTTGGGAGACTTTTTTTGCATACATGAAATGTTAACTTCAGCTTTTGTTGTTTTATAAAGTTAACATCTAAGAGGGTTGTTTTTATAATTTTATTCCACATTAAAACAAAAAAGCTACCATAAAATATGACAGCAGAGCAAATTTATCTACCCAGTCCCTAGAAATATAAATTATTTTTCTAAGTTGAAAATCTTTCACAATTTTGGCTAGTATGCAAGGATTAACAATATTCCTTAGACTTATAAATCAGTATAAGTTTCAAAATTAAAAATAAAAACAATATCCCAAGCCACGAGTTTGAAATATGATTGATACATTGTAAACGTGTTGTTTTTTAATTTTGAAAGAAAAATTATGTATTTACGTTTAGAAATGAAACGATCCAAATTACTTTTGAGATTTATGGTACTTGAAGTCTTGGCTGTAAGTTTTTATCATAACTTTTGTCTCATTCAGTTGAAGAATTGAATGTTTAAAAAAACATTCAATTTCGTCTTCCCTCGTCTTGTTTTACAGCTTTTGGGCATGACTTGAAAGGATAGCTCTACCCAACCCCAGTGCTCTAAAGTCTAGGAGTGCTCTCTATAATGCTAGCTAGGCTTTCAGAGATAATAACTCATAGGGCCCTACTTTAACACATGTCTAAATAATACAGGCAGTTTTATGGGGTCCTTGAAGCTCGAGTGGTAGGGGAGCTTCCACTTTACTGCTCCTATAGTTGTGTAAATGTTGAAGGAGCCCAGGGTCCTGAGCCAGAAACTGAACCACTTTTAGGAAAAGTTTTTTTTTTGTTCTTTTTGTAAGCTCAGGTGCTAGATAAAGAAATAAAATGTCCCCTGCCTCATGTCCCATAAATGTTGTTTTTTTTTTAAGTAAAATGTTTAATGACTGAAATGAAAACAATAATTGTAATGTGGAACTGTGAATATCTGCACTTAAGAGCTGTAGATTGTCATTTTCTCTGTGGGCAATCAATCCTCTTGACGAGTGGTATATGCCTGTTTCATGCTTTCCCCTCTCCTCTTATGATTATTGACTCTGTTGTACATGTGGCAATGAAAAGAGTATGACATTTTAAAAACTGTGCAACCTTTTCAGTTTCTACGATGCATTGTTGAAAACATTAATCTAAATGACATTCTCGTAGGACATTAGTGGAATCAATAGCTAGTGAACGAACTGGTTCAACAGTAACTCATAAGTAACCTTTAAGTAAATAACCTTTTAAGTAAATAACCTATCATTGAAGACTGATTCACCAAGCTTACTTGTGTATACTTTAACTAAAGTGTCCCCTAAATATGTTTGTTTTTTTTTCACATTAATTTTGTTAAATGCTAACTTGTTTTTTGTTTTTTTTTACAATATTTCTTTTCAAGTCACAACTTCATAGAGGAACTTGGACACTGATCTTAAAAATGGCGCTAATGATTTTCCTAAAAATTAAACATGTTTAGACATATCTCAGGCTTAAACTTTCCCCCATTTATTTTATTAAGCAAAACTGTTCTGACCATGAACTCTTTCAATGTATGAAAACAGCTTGTTTCATTGGCCTCAGAAAATTAAATGAATGTTCTCAATAGGATTATGTTCTAACATGGCCCAGGCTTAATTCCCTTGAGATGGTGTGATCTATTATCTCAGCAGCGCTACGCAGACAGTTGTCAATAGGCTTTCAATTACAAGTGGACACTATCATGGCCAAACTTGAGCTTCTTGCCCCAGTCCTCTTGAAGCAACTTGAAGACGTAGACCTGATAACATTATCCTTGTCAAGGGAAGGGGGAAAAAATATCAACTACAGCTTCTCTCATGAGAAATGCATGGAAAATTAGAAATTGTTCTCATGTAACTCTTTAGTAAAGCTTAAAAAGTTGTAATGACAAGTGTGTGTTAGGTAATGGTCTATCAAGAGTTGTAATATCAAAGATTGCTAGGTAATTGTTAGTGGTTCTATTTTGGCTCATTCTAGCCTGCAGATTAAAAAATTTTAATAGAAAATATCTGAACATCACATTCTTGGACCCACATTACCTACTAGAACAAAATAACATCGAATTAATCTTATGAAATTCAGAATTACTTTCTCCCAAGTCATAATTATTATAATGTTTCTTAAAAACAAGGCTTTTCGACTGATGTATTAATGATAATTAACATAATGTATTAGTTTCCTTTTTTTTTTTTTTTTTTTCATCTTTTGGTATCTAATGAAACCTTAAAAAAACAACCAAGTTCCCCTTGAGTATCATTTCTTTTGGATTTGATAAAATATTTTTTTTTTTTTAAACTTTTAAAATTTTGTTCTGTTTAGAAGTTTTTCTGAATGTTAAATGATACAAGAGAAGGAAAAAAAAATCTCTTTTTATTCTTTTAAGGCATACATTATGGGATTAATTCTGATTATATACCGGTATATTTAAAAAATTTATTTATATGTTTTTTTATTGACCTAGGGCATTTTTTTTTTCTAATTATGCTATTCAATTGATTTTTAAAAAAAATCAAAATCCCAAAATGATGGGAAATAGATATTTTTGCGAATATTTATTGTATGTTTTCAATTCTAGTACTGTGGGTTCATGATCATTTGGAGGTTTAGAGGCACTTAGAGCTGGGTAGCAAGCACTTGATGCTCAGAACTAATCATACAATGTCTTGCTTGTTTGTGCATTTAGAGAAGCATTGGGTATTTATTTAACTACCATGTCACATGATTGTCTTCTTTGTTCTCACTTTGTCTTCTTTGTTCACACTATGAAGTCGGAGGGTTCCTACATCTGAGGAACTTTGCAGTAGTTTCCAGATCAGGCAGTTCTTCGTGCTGTTATAATTTTGGGGCCAGTATCTTGTTTGGGTCTCTTGATAAAGATTTGAAAGGCATGGTCAGCATTCTCTGGCAACACTCAGAAAACCTTGTCCACAAAGGTGTATTTCCAATTTTCATCTTCTGGACCTTGTGTAAACTTGTGTTGTCACATATTGTGCCTTGTTTTGAGGCAAAAAAAAATTGTACTTTGTTTCTTGTCAGGATAGTTAATAATTATGTTCATGAAATTTGGCTAATAACTAGTCTATCTTTGGATCACATGATTACATGCATCATGCTGCATTCTCATTTATTTGAATATTACATTAACATTACCTATATCTTATTATTAGAACTATGTCAGGGATTAGGGGGAAAAAAATTCAAAGAAGTTATAAAGAACTGTAATTTATGCGCCAAAAATATGTGTTTAAAAGAGTAACATGAATTATTTTTTTTTACTGTTTTAATAAAAGCCTACCTCATATTTTGATTTGTGATTGAATGTCATTTATTCTTTAATCATCCCCCCCCCCCCCTTTTCCTTTTTGAATGACTTACTTGATTTTTCAAAGTTTTATCATCAAAATAAAATGGACAATAATGGTTTTTTTCTTTTAATACAAAAATAAAAAAAGGTGCAGACAATTTGAGCAATCTGATATACTAATAGGCAGATAAACTAGCAAAATTTTTTTTTAGCGGCCTCCAAAAGGGAAAAGACACTATTAGTATTGTATGGAATGTTTGTCCATCCGTCCCTTTTAGATTTCGTAAACTAGAAAATATAGTGAAAATCTAACATAATATTTCAGACCATTCAAAGTTCTGATGCAACGGCTACTTTTTTTTTCCCGATGTAATCTAATTTTTTAAATCACTTATGCAAGCATTTTTTTCATAAAAATACAACACTATTATAACTATTGATTATTAATAGTAACAAAAAGCAGAGGCTCTTTAGTAGAGGAGAAGACTATTTGCCATATTTTTAACACATTCATGCAAAAGTTTAGATTTTTTGTCAAAAATTTTTTTTTAACATTTGTATTGCTAAGTTATGTAAGTTCTGTTATACTAACTACTACATTTACACAAAAAAATGTTTACTTTTTTTTTAAGTCAAAAAAAAAACTAATTAGTATGCAAATAAGTTGGACATAATTTAAAACAACAATTAATTAGTAGTTTTTCATATTATCGCATGAACTGCAGAGTGGCAATGAAATACCAAACTAAAGGAATTTTTTTTTTTTTTGAAGGAAATGTTTCTTTGTTGAGGAATAAGAGATTGTCCCTTTACAAAACAATTAGATCAATTAGATATTGGTTATAAGACATTAGTTAACATCTAACTTCACATTCACTTTCACCTATTCTTTGGTCTGTGGACTGCTGGGGCACCAACACAGATCCATCAACCTTCTTTCTCCATTCTTCTGTGTCATTTGTCTTTGATAGAATTTCATTCTGATGTTCTTTCTGAAAATATTGAAACCTGTATTTTTACCTGCCTGGGGTGGACCACTTCGGGGGCCGATTTTGAGTTTGTGTCTCTACAAAAACTGTCTTTGTAACCTTGTTAATGTTGTTTTATCTTACAAAATGCTAACTGTAACACTATGTATGCCATTCAGACAAGTTTGAAATAAAAAGAGTTTTACTCAGTAATACACATTTCAATGAAGGAATTCAAAGAGAAATGTGTACATTGGACTGGGAGGAAAAGTGAAGCTGGTTTCCACCCTTGATGAAAGATGGCTGCCTGATCATGTGGTATGTGCACTGGATTGTCACTGTGAGGATTCTGGGTTCGAATGCTGTCCACTGCCATCCCCTGCTGTCCTGCAGGAACTCTAACCCTAATCCAAAACATATTTAAACAAAGAAAATTTATTTCATTTTTTATTTTAAAATATATTTTAAATAATAATATTATGCAACAGCTATGGGTCTTTTTTTTTTTTTTTTTGTTAATCTGTTTACTATCAGAAAAAAATAGCTTGAGTATTAATTACATCAAGACTTTTAGTACCTAGTCAAAAGGACCAAAGCTTTTTTTTTTCTTCTTCCAAATAGGACAAATGTGGTTTATTCCCATGTGGTTCTTGATACACAGTTTATGGTGGATAAAGTTTTAAAACATTAACAAGTCTACTGCTTATTATTGACACCAACCTGCAGAGCAGAAATATATAGCAACTTTGTTTATACACATAGCCCTGTTTTTATTTATGTAAGGCAAAAGAGACAGCTTGTGTTACAATTGTGTTTTTAATACAAGAAACCAATGTTAATTATAAATATATGTATTGTACAAAATGCTGACAAATAATGTATACAAATATTGTGATATATAATTTAGTAACATTTCATTATTACTATTATAAATATTTGTGTGTTTGACCCTGTGTCAAGGTCAGTATATATAATTTGATACACTATACCATTTAATGGACAGATTATGACTCTATGAATTACAATTGTTGGCATTTTTTTTTTTAGGGAATTTTTTTTTTTATGCATATTCTTGGTAATTATTTTACCTGATGTATGTTGATTGTGTGTTGTTTGGATGTTATATGTTGTGTTAAGCTGAATGAGTGTTGTATCATTTTGTCATTCAATCATTTTTCTTATCACATGCAAACCTAACCCACCATTGCAGTACAAGTTGTGTTTTGTACTATTGCCTTGTTGACCATAAAGATACATGTGTGTAAGCTTCCTGTGCAACTTAAAAAAAAAAAAAAATTCTGTGCAAAAAGTTTAAATAATTAAAACAACCAGAGTGGAAAATATTCTTAATAGTGGTACTGTAACTCTAAAATGATTCTATTTGTTGTGAAGGCAAAGGTTCATAACCCTTATTCATTTTTTTTAGCTTATCAAAATTCTTGTAGAATAAATAATAATTGTTAAATAGCGCTGACAACCTTATTATCCTAACTTAGATTTTGTATGTGATGCTTATTTCAACTAGAATCCCAGTTTGCAATCCTTCTATGAAATTGCCAGCATTATGGCACCTACCCGCCACCTAGACACTTTTAAGGCAAGAGAATATTAGTAACACCTTTGGAACAGTGTGCTAAGGAAACACATTTCTATTATGTAGTCCTCCACTTCACATAAGCACTCTTCTTTAGCTGTCTGTAGCCAATAGGGTAAATATCTTTACTTTGTCTCCTCCCATGGAGCAAAGTTCAACTATTCCCTTCCACTAAGCCTGAAGTTCTGAAGAAATAATACATCCACAATTTGTAAATGTTGTGTGCCCATATATGTTGTTGTTTTTTTTATTCAGGGTCAGTGTCAGCTAATTTTGTCTTCATTTGAGAGCTGAGAAATTTTTTTTTAATGATTATTTTAAACAGATTTTTATAGCAATGATTGAAGTAAATACTGACGTGCATAAATAGATGCAAAAAACAATAATGGCATTTTTTAAAACTGTGAGACCATTTAGTGTTGTGATGTGGTTATAACTTTGAGCATATGTGTGATTGATTACATTGTGAATGAGATAAATGACATGAACAGTATTGCCTGTTGTAGTCTATGGCACTGACCTAAAGTCAATTTTGAAAAATCAGCACCTTTATTTTTTCCAACACTAAGTAGCTTTTAATGCAAAGTGGTCCTGATTATATAGTGAAAATAAATCTTTTTTGACCAGAATATAAACCCTAAGACTAGATAGTTAGCAGGTTTGTTTTTAACATTGAGTCATCTGAGTTGAAGTGTATTTCTTTCTTTAACCCTGTAGCCCTTGTAGGATTCATATTTAATTTTTTTTTTCCCCCACCCACATCAGCACATAGGTAATCCTGTTTTGCCATCAGCATATAAAGTTACACTGACAAAGAAATTACATAAATATATTTGTTCCATTATTCCAGCCAAATGTTTATGGATGATTATATTTTTAAAATTGAAATTGAACTTTGACTAACTCTTGTTCATGAGATGAGAAGGTGTGTGCTAATTAAGTTACAAGTATGCTAATGACAGGGAAGGTCTGTTTGTTATGTGAGCGCTGTTGTTTTGAACTGATTTGTGAATGTTTAGCCTGGACTTGATGTACTGAGTACTAATTGGTTGGTCACCAGGCGTTCAGCTGTGGTCATTGTGTTTGTTGAATGTTTTATGTTGAGTACATTCATTGTTCATGATCTATCTATGTGACAAGAGCAACAAAATATCTATAGAACACATACATTTGACTTTATGTGTTTGTTTTTTTTTTGTTTGTTTTTTTGTGTCTGACTAGAATGTCAGTATGACCTGTAGTTTGTCATACTTTTTTCATATCTCCATAGTTTCTGTTTTTTTTTAAATAATAATAATTCTAACTATTGGTGATAAAAATACAGATCCTACTATAACACAAATACAAATAGGCCTACATCAACAAAGAACTGAAATTAGTAGCATAAGTAATGAACACTGGTATACAAGCTAATTTACTGTAGAAGTCATAGATTTCCAATTGTTGAGATATTCAAACCATTGATATTTCTCATAATGTAAACATATTGTTCTTACTCCATACCAACATGGCTTTAGGAAATATAGATCATGTGAAACACAACTAATAGAACAAATTGATGATTTTTCAATAGGTTTAGATAATAGTGAGCAAATAGATGCTATATTATTAGATTTTTCCAAGGCTTTTGACAAAAGTTCACCACCATAATTTGCTTGCAAAATTAAAATTTTTTGTCATTGATGATCCATTACATCAGTGGATTTTCTGATAGGGAGAGAACAAACTGTAATAATAAATGGCTCTAAATTCTAAACCAACACAAATAACAGTATACTCAGGTGTACCTCAAGGAACAGTCTTAGGTCCACTACTATTCTCAATTTACATAAATGATTTACCAAACTGCATTAGTTCAGGAACAAAAGTCAGATTATTTGCAGACGATTGCATAATATAATAAGGCTTCTCTTCGAGTCCGAAGATAAGTGAGGAATACAGTAATTTCCGTGGCTGCGCAGCCCCAGCTGTGACCTACATATTTTGCCAACACAAGATACAAAAATTGTACAGAGAATTAGATGAATTACAGAAATGAGAATCAAATGGGAGCATGTCTTTCCAACCAGAAAAATGTCAGTTATTAAGAGTAACAAAAAAAAAAAAAAAAAACTAAAGCAAATTAACTCCACTTATCTTATTCATGGTAAAACAGTAACACAGACTAAAAACGCAAAATACCTAGGTGTTATAATAAATGAAAAACTGTCATGGAATCCCCTTATTGATGAAACTACCAAAAAGTCAAAGCATTAGGGTTTATTAAAAGAAATTTCTATAGTTTTGAATAATTGATCATTGGTTAATATGCATGACTGAATGCATAACACCTAGGACGTAATCATCTTTTTTCAAGTAACGTCTGTATTTTATAAGATAAGAAGATATTTGTTCGCTGTAATAATATTAGACTTAGATACTATTGCTGCATTTAGTTTACTATTTAGTAACTATTCCCACAAATATGTGTTAACTTCTACAATATATAAATTGATAATAAATCAACGATAGAATACATTTTATTAGGCCTACGTATATTGCTAGTTAACCTCACGACACCCAGATGTATATTGTCAATACATGGTACACGGTTTCTTGTGTAAGGGGAGGTAACAAACAAAATGCTTCGTTGGAAGAACAGTTGTGCTTAATTCGTTAAAAACAACAACAACGCATTTCATTGTTATCCATTGTCACTGAGCAGAAAATCCTCAAAGTCTCTTGATTATCATTTGATAATTGACATTACTTTTACTCGTCTTCTGAATGACGAATTCTTATAACATGTCAACGCAAGGAAAATAACGCCTGACTCTGAAACTTTCACAAGTAATCATTGAAAGAGGATAAAGAATAACGGATTTTATTATTAATAATTTAAGCTTCTCCAAGATCGTTTGACATTTTCCATATAGTGTACTCCTAAACTATGATAAATGGTAGCTTTATTGTGTACTAGCTTCTATCCGTACTGCGATACGGTTAAAATACCTAGGCCTATGTTTATTTTGTCCGGAAAACTTTTTAAAACCTTCAATAAAAAAAAAAAGCCTGCATTACAATGCTCCCTCAGCCCAAGCATTTGTGTCTGGTCCTTAAATTCTATAAGACCCTCTTTTTTGTTTTTGTTCTCTTCTTTCATTCTGAAATCGAACGGCCCGCACCCCCCCCCCCCCCTTTCCATAGAGTATGCACAAACGCTTCTTATACCTTTTAGCTAAAGCCTTCCCATCGTCCTGTATTATATTTCCCCCCCCCCTCCTATTTTAAAATGAAACTTACCCCAAAAACACACTTTTTTGGGGCCCTTGTATCAGCGAACGGAACGTCTGACCTGGTCGTGCGGTTTACGCGCTGGACTGTCGTTCGATTTATCGAGGGTTCAAACCCTGCCCACTCCCATCGTCCTACGGGAGGTTTGGACTAGGAAGTAAACTATCTTCAACTCTGAAGGAACATTCGAAACATTGTAAAACATTTTTACAAACACAGACACAAAACAAACCACAAAAAGTCTTAGGCCCTTGAATTCCAAAAGCGAATAGCCATAACGCATTTCTGGTTAGTTTCACCTGAATCTTTATTATTATTATTATTTTGCTTAGAAACGAACGAGTAGTCATTCTCTGACGCTGCCAGGGTCGATTTTCGTTAAAGAGAAACAAAATTCATCGTAGTACCTAAGAGTTTCCACTGAGGAATTTTCTGGTGATATGGCAGGTCTGCAGCAGTACCGCCCTCTGACAGGCAACGAGAATGTTCCTAGGAATGTTGAGGACTTTGAAGATATCTGTGAGGTCAGTTGTTATTATTCCCTCGGTTGATATAACAATGGGGTATATTGCTATTTTGGATAACTTCCATAAACGCTTAATCTCCAAGCTTATGTTCCCATATTTTCTTTGTTTTTCTATTTCAGTTCTTCTTTAATTATTCTTCTTCTTATTATCCTTGTTCTTATTATCCTTATTCTTATTATTGTGTTAGAAGTGAGCGAGTATTCATTATTATTATTCATTATTCAATAGAATGTTCTCATTCACAACCATGAACTTTTTGGCAGCATCCTACAACCCCTTTTTTTTTCGTCCCCCCAACGGAAAGGCCTTTAATGCAAAGTTGTAAATAAAGTTCACCCTTCTTTGGATCAGCCATCGCAAAACAAATGCCCACTCACTGCACACATTATTGTTTGTGAAGGAGCACATTGATACCATGATAGATAAATCAGTTTATCTTCACTATCTCTCTTTATCTTCTTATAGATTACACTCACAGACGTTACTTCAACGATCTACAACAGCTTGGGGGTTTGGTCGTGGAGAAGAAAGGCCCACGAGAGATCAGAAAAGAGGGATGTGTTGAAAAAGACCAAAGCCCTCCATGGGCTGTTGCGCCACTGGGATGAATGGATGGAAGGACGTTACTTCAAAAAAAAAAAGTAGATAATTAAGTCCTCTCACCTCCTCTCTAGAAAAATACTACTGAAAAAAAAAAAGTACATTAGATCTATAGACTGTGACAAGTCGTACAAAATATTTATTTGTGAAGAAGCGTCTGAAACTCCGAAAACAAATAACAAAACTGGCAAACGATAAATAATGGCTGCAGTTATAATTAGATGTTTGCGTCAGAGAACTTGAAGAGACAGGCTGACTGCTCGAAGCGACAGCCATCTTGAAACGAAGATGCAAAGAATATAAAAAAAATCTTGAAAGAAACGAAAACAAAGCTGATCTAAGAAAAATAATTTCGCACTTAAAACTATATCTCGCAATAATGTAGAAATTATTTCATTTATTCGATATCAAACTAAATAATCAATGAATTAATTGACGAATTGTTTAAAAGAAAATTATTATACAAGCTTCTTTCCCTTTGATTTTTATTTTTCCCCAATTCCCCACAATTTCCAATTCAACTGACCTATACAAGATAGTGAAATGTTAAACTGTTTCCTTTATTCGATATCAAACTAAATAATCAATTAATTGATGAATTGTTTATTTTTTTTAAAAGTCGAATCATGTTTTGTTAAGTAAATTTGATCCAACAACGGGTGGCTGTCTGGTCCTGCGGTTTGCGCGCTGGACTGTCTTGTGGACTTATCGATGGTCCCGGGTTTTTCAACTCTAAAGGAACATCCGAAACTTGTAAAATTTATAAACAAACATTTACAAACATTGGTGTGGGAGGAATATCGTGTTCAATTATCTAGGGGGACGAAATGATACATATTTATCCGTATCTGTTAGTAATGACAAAGAAGGATTAATTTCCTTGTTGGTTTCCAATTTACAAATAATTAATTACAAAACTTGGTCCGAGAATGGGTGCGGGAAAATAACATGTACAAACTTTTTTCTTGTCAGACAGACAGAGTGAATTGATATAAGCTTTTCTTTTTCCTTAAAAAAGCAGGATTGTTCATTTTAGATGTTTCGGATGTTCCTTCAGAATTAAAGATTATTACATCCTAGCCCAAACCCTTCGCAGGATGGCGAGGGATAGCGGGGCAAGCAAGTTTGGAACCCGGGACCATCAAGATCGCATACCACAAGATCAAGCAAAACTTGATAACTGAATGAACATAAAGAACTAAAAACGTCACTGATAAAGGGAGGCTACCAATTTTTGAAGCAAAAGAAAAGTATTACACAAGCTTCTTTACCTTTGATTCTATTTCCCCCACAATCTCCGATTTAACTGACCTATACAAGATAGTGAAATGTTAATTTTAACCGGAAGCGGAAAATATGATTTAGAAAGTAATTTTTTATCAACACTTTATAAATAAATTCATGTTTATCACATCCGTAACTGTGACAAATAATTACAAATATCTCGGATCTTCTTATCTTACCACGCAGTTGGATCAATACAGCATAAAGAATTAGAGATCTGGCTATTGTTTATTCTAATTAAGGAATGGGTTTTTAAAGAACTTTCTGTTTTAGGTGCTATCGAATCTCAATAAGTGTGTTGAAATATGGCGGCGGATTACAGTTCTGAAGACGAAGAGAGACAGGGCTTAACTAGCTCATTCCGTACTCAGATGGGTTACGGAACGGCTCCTTCAACCGCGATAATAAAAAAAACAGCACCAGTCACTCGAAAGTTTATATATAGAAAAGTCAACAGAACGGATACTTTGATGGGCATAGCGT